AATTTGAGGCATAAGTTGAATGTTCTAATTTTATGTATGGAAAGACTGAGAGTGTCATAAAATTCAAAATATGTAAGTTTTTCTAAATTAATAATTGTTCAATATGTGCTTCTTCTTTCTAACTCGTTATTTGTTTGCATGCGTTCACTTCATGTTCGATGGGATTTATTCAATGAAAAATTAAAATAGTTAATAAACAACTAAAACAAGGAGAAAAAGGTCAAAAAAATTACAAAAATAAAGAGAATTCGGAATTCTTAGAGTGGGCCATGGCAGTGGAGGTTTTAGCATAGAAAAATTTCATAACTAAGAAGTTAAGTATCACAAATTTCAAAACTAAGAATAAAAGTTTCAAATTTCAAAAATCAGATTTTTTTTAAATTTTATTTATAAATTAATTTATTAAACATATATTTTATTAATTAGATATATTAAGGTAACAATTCTATGCAAATTAGTCGCAATTCATGAATTAATTGATTACAAATTAATTTTCAGTCACAAGTTATCAAATTATTGGTTGCAACTTATTTCTTGGTTATAAATCAAAAATTTTATAAGTTACTGATTATTTATCGGTCACAAATCAAAATTTTTATAAATCACATATTATTCATCGGTCACAAAATTAAAATTTTATTGGTCACAACTTATTTATTCATTACAAATTATTATATTACTTGGTCACAATTAATTTTTCGGTCACAACTTAATCAATTGTGAGTCACGATCACAATTTTTAGTCCACATATTACAAATTAACTAATTATTGATCATAATCAACCAAATAATTGGTTACATGCATCAAACCCCATCTCATTTAACCTACCACCATCGCCACGACAACCACCATCACTATCACCATTACCACCACCAGACCTCGCAAAAACCACAATGGTCGCCCAAACACCAACAAAATCGTCGCAACATTGCCCACCCACCAACAAAATCATCGCCACCACCAACACTACCACCACCATTCACTACTAAAAAAAACAGTTTTTCACCTACGGAAAATTATCAATGGATTGCATCTATTGATCATTAGAAACGAATTATTAGTCGGTAAAAGTAATTCACTTTCAACTACGATAATCAGCAACGAATTTTCCATTAGTAACACTGATATCTTTTTATCAACGGATATTCTATGCCTAATGTAGTCGTTTAACATTTTGATCTTTCACCTACGGAAACGTACCAAATATTACCAACGAAAACAATCCGTTGATAATTAGAAACGGATTATTCGTTGGTAAAAGTAATTCATTTTCAACTACGATAATCAACAATGAATTTTTCATTGGTAATGATAATATCTCTTTACTAACGGATATTCTGTGCCTAATATGACCGTTTAACATTTGAATCTTTCACCTACGAATATTCCGTTGGTAATTAAAAACGGATTATCTGTTGGTAAAAGTAATCCAATTATCCCACATCAGAAGTTTACAATAAAGTTTTTGGAGTCTTCCTCTATAAATTTGTGGTCCAATAAGTGGTTAAACAATATTTTGACTTTTCAATTCATTTGTTTAAAAATTTTAAAAAATATATAATTATTAAATAAATAATAATAACAATAATAAAAAAATAAGTAAATAATTTTTTTTACCATGCCTCACACGTATACGACTATTTACAACATTGATTTTTACCAATTGTAATGATAGATATTTATCAACGAAAAATCGGTTGGTATTGATTAAATTTTTACCATTTCCGTTGGTAAAAAATTCACACATTACCAATGAAATTTTCGTCGGTAAAATATTTATTCTTTACCTACGACACAATCCATTGGTAATTATCAACGATCCTCAAATTAACAACATATTTGTGGTTGCAAATATTTCGTTAGTAAAGAGTAATAACAACGGATATTAAGGTTTTAGGAACGAAAAATTCGTGCCTGAAACCATATTTTTTAGTAGTGATTGCCACCATAGCCGTCGTACCACTACCACCTCTATCTCCAAATTACTAAAAAAAAACCCTAAAACCATTGCCCATGTGTACTGTCTTCTGCCGGCCATATCATCTCACTACAATATCGTTGACTACTAGATTTTCACCATTACCTCTTCAAATCAACAAACAAATCATTAAGCGCCTCCACCAAAATCAAACTAGACCATAACCCGCTGTCTCCTTCATGCTGCCATCTCAGTCACCTCCACCCATATCAAACCATCACACAACTACCACCACATTGAACTTTAAAAAGTTGAGTCGAGTGATGCCGCTATTGATGATGGCT